TCTCTGTCACCTAAAACTGGCCCCTTTGCCGTCAGAAGTGGTGCGATTTTGGTGAAACTTTAGAGCTTTGTCAAACCTACCTTACGAAGCCGAATAAGCTGATTATTTTACAAACAAAAGTTTTAACTCTGGTTAACAGTGTCAAAGTTTAATGGTAGCATTCTGTGGAAAGTTGGCTGAGATATGATTTTTTTAAAATGACCTTTAATTTGCTCAGCAAGAAAAGTAATTTGCATATCTAGAGCTGAACGGTAATTTGGCAAAAGTGGCACCTGACCCAAACTCAAGTCTATGATAAATCAGAAGTACTAAGACCAGTCTACTTCTTAATGTAATAAAATTTGTGGGCACTCTTCTCTGCGCGCTGTACAAAGTTCCGTTAATGTTCCAAAATTCGCCAGTTTGACAGCAAAGCTGGAATTGTAACGGTCCGCATTTGATCGACTAATTTCCACAGTTTTAACGTTTCTAGTTATCACCAAATATCATTAGACCCTTTAGATGTTGGAATTTTGAAAACATGAGGAGAAAAGTTGGTAATCGCTTTTTCTTGGTTTTTTTCCTTGTCGACGATCAGAACGCGACTTTATTCTCCGTATGCAAATTAGCCTCAGATGCGTCGTTTCAACAAATTGACAGAAAACATAACTGCTTATATTTCACATTTTTAAGTGGAAAATATCTCATCTTTCCACGGAAAAACACGAACGATATATGACTTAGAATCCCCTTAGGTCTGTTTCTTTTACAAGGAAGAAGCAATAGAAGAAGATATGTTTACGCAAATTAAAATAATTTAATTACTATCGCCCGTCACGCATTCCCCAAGAGTGGCCGTGTGTCGATCAGTTCTTTTATCTGATTACATTTCTTTTGAAGTGATAGTTATTGATAATCATACAATTCAATCACTGTTAATTCCGATTCTTTACTGGGTGGGAAATACCGTGCTGTTGTATTTATTCATTCTACGACCGTTTTAACTGAGTCAGTATCCCCGGGCGCCACCGTGAGGATGGGGTTTAATATGACAGCCCATGGTGTAATACACGACAATTAGCTACAAAGTATAGTAGTCACTTGGACACGGCCACTCTTATTCACGAGGACTAGTACAATATTTTCAATTACAGAATTAACAATTAATATTTTGGAAATAGCTCGCAAACAGCTTCAGAAATACCGTGCGACACCACAGGACCACACCTGCAAAGTCCTTTAAGCAGCAAACACATTTCCTAGATCCCTAGCTAACTATAGGCTACCCTACAAACTTTAGGGTGGTAATAACAGAGCATTGTGTTTATCACCAATTAACAACATTTGAGTAAAAACGAGGAAAGGCATGCAGAAAAAGGCATTAAGTTATTGTTTACGGTCCGTCTCCTGTTAAATCCCAAAAGTTTTTGCCGGCTGTTAATCACACTAAATTAAGGATCCCTATGTTCACTCCTGAGCTGATGGAGAAAAGCGCGTGCAACCTTGTATGAAAGACGAAATTTTGTCAATTAGGTCTCCTTTTCTTTCCCTGGATTTGAATGGTATTTTAAAGTGACACAAGATTTTAGCATTATCACTTTGAACTGACTAGGTTGTTCTTCCTTTGACATACACATAGGTTGAAAGCTTCTGGTTGAGGGTGTTGTGGTCTCAATTCTTCAGCGATTTCTGCAACAAGCTTTTGCCTTTCGAACTCCTCGTCTTCTTGCAACAGATCTCTATGGTCAAGTTCAACTTGTATACACTTAGGATTATGTTTACGTGTTGACTCAAACGAGCCTAGAGTCCAACATGGGCTGGCAATAGGTGAGCACGGAATTGGTACGGGGGGTGGGGGAAACTCCCTATGATGGCCTACACGGGGAGGCTCCGCCCGAAAGGAGTATCTTTTTTAGGCTTCAGGTATATGAAAGGGTGGGCATTTCACTAGATAAAGTATATAAAAGGGCGAGTACGCTTATTGCAGCCTTAGCAGCATCTTTGGAGGTTCTTAAAGAAAAAAGAACTAAGTTTAGAATTTAAGGAAAAAGTAGAAGGACTTAATTTTTCAGAAATTAATATACACGGGAGAAATTTCATCCCCTTAAGTACAAACGCTTTTAAAAGTAGAGGTGGAACAGTGGGGAGAGAGGGTGGATGGTAAAGTAGGTTAAAAATGGAGAGATGAGATGGAGCACATTGTTCAAGAGGGTATAAATACAAAAAAAAAAACAGCAATCTGGAGGAATTTTTGAAGACTGAAAACGTTATCAAAACAAGAAAAACAGAGAAATCTTGTCCAATAAACCTCTCCGGCAAATGTGTGGACATGGTTGCTGACTGTTCAATCGTACTCTTCTCGACCCTTCGGCGTCAAGTTTTTTCAAGTTTCTTGCGACAGGAGGAGCAAATCGGCTATGTAAAGTTGAACTGAACACTAAGGTACTTTTAAGTCTCACTAATTTTTACAAAATCAGAGACATGTTTTAAACACTGTTTAAGTTCAAAAAAGAAATATTATTATTGCAAGAATGAAATACTTTTCATACACGTGCACGTGAACGACACCTCGACCACAATCACTCCTAGCCTCGTCCCCAGGACATTCTTCTTAGAAAATGGCAGGGGCTTGAAAGCCCTGGGAACGAGGTTGAATCCTGACTCCGTGTAGAAAGTTATATTTTTCCCATTTATAATGCTCTTCAAACAATCATCAGAAAACTATCTTTTACAACACACGGATTAACCGGTATGTATAGTATTTTAAAGGTAAGAATTGATTAAGGCAAGATACACGACTGATAAAAAAATAGAAATAACAAAAACTATCGTCAGAAAACATCGCAAGATAAAATGTTAAATAGAGAAATTAGAATATCTCTGTACGTTAAGAAACTTTTTGGCATGAAGAAGAAAAAAGAATGATACTTACGTGAAGGAACAAGACTTTGACATATTTTGCTGGCTATCTGGAAATTTACGACATGTCTTCCTGCCACAGAATTTATTTTGCCAGTATGATCCAGAGTGTGACCGGGGTATTGATAAGACCTTAGGCTCGATTTCCGCCGTCTCCCCGTCCGTTGGGGGCTCATTTTCCAGAACAGCGGCTTACAATCGAGCCTAACAAGACCTTGGTGCTCGCAAAAACCTGCCAAGTAGGTGTCTGTGCCTTGGGCAGATTGTCATTTCAGTTCCGAATACCCACCAAGCCTCGAATACGTACTCTCGCTAAAATGAGTTCATTTTCATTGTCTTTGCTACACTTGCTAAACTTAGACAAGTGACAGCTGGCTAAGTGCGACGTAATATCATCCATGCACTCTGTGACCAACACATTTTCCTCCACACCCCTACTGGGACCTCACTCTGTCTACAATCTCGCGGACTGAACTGCTTGATGAAATAGCCGAAAAAGCCATTTTTCACAATTGATCTCTTCGGCGATTTCATTGACAAAACTATATTTGAAACTGGCACCTGTAGCATTATAATTCAATCAGATTGAAACCAAAACAAGATCATCGTTGGAATTCGGATGTTATACCCTAACAAAAACTAGAAAGATACTCCCTTTTGCGTTTATTTACTGAAAAAGGGAACTATTTTTCCCGTTTCATTCTGCTGTAGATAAACGCTTTAAAGATCTTTGAATGAAACTGAAATTTACTGCTAATTTAAGATAGAAAAAGTGTGGGGCATTTTTCTTATCATAGTGCCATGTACAAAGATCTGCCTTCTCCAGATAAGCAAATATCATTATAAAGCTTTCTACGTTAACGCTATTTTTTAAGGCGCACAAAAAAGAGTGCCCAAAAATTTTCGTGTGCTGACACGAGGATTTACCTTGCAAGTGTACTCTTATTTTTTATCATTATCAATAACTATCATTTTAAAAAAAAAAGATGATAATATTATAGAATTGATCGACACAACGCTATTGTTTTCTAATCGACCACCCCTCTTAAGGAATGCGTGACACGCCACAGTAATTGGATAAGCCACGCAAACATATATCATGATATATTATTCAGCTGCTTCTTCCTCGTTAAAAAAAAAAAAACAGACCTTAAGGGGATTCTAAGTGATAGAATATGTTTTTCTGTGGAAAGGAGAGTTATTTTTTCCCCTTAGAAATGTGAAATGTAAGGATTATATTCAGCTGTATATTTCCTGTCAATCTGTTAAAACAACCCATCTAAAGCTAATTTGCATACGGAGAATGAAGTAACGTTCATCGTCGACAAGAAAAAGACCCAAGGAAAAGCGATTACTAAGTTTTCTCCACATGTTTTCAAACGTCCAACATCTAAAGGGTCTAATGACATTTAGTGATAACTAGAAACGTTGAAGCTGTGGAAATTAGTCGATCAGATGCGGACCCGTTACAATTCCAGCTTTTCTGTCAAAATGACGAATTTTGGAACATTAACGGAACTTTGCGCGGCACGCAGAGAAATTTTATTGCCTTAAGAAGTAGACTGGTCTTAGTACTTCTGATTCATCATAGACTTGAGTTTGGGTCAGGTGCCACTTTTGCGAAATTACCGTTCAGCTCTAGTTATGCAAATTACTTTTCCTGCTGAGCAAATTAAAGGTCATTTTAAAAAAATCGTATCTCAGCCAACTTTCCACAGAATGCAACCATTAAACCTTGAAACTGGCAATCAGAGTTAAAACTTTTGTTTGTAAAATAATCAGCTTATTCGGCTATGTAAGGTAGGTTTGACAGAGCCCTAAAGTTTCACCAAAATCGCACCGCTTCCGACGGCAAACAGGCCAGTTTTAGGTGACCGAGAAAATCTTCCTGTAAAATAGAGAAAAATTGAGTTGGCCCAAATAAATGCCAGTATTTCTTCATGGGATTGGATAGTTATCTTCCACTGAAAAAATCAGGGCAATGCGTGATAGACCGAAATTTACCTTATCGGTTCTTACGCGGACAGCCTCTTAAAGCCAGAGACACGCGCGCCGCGTCATGCACTTTAGCATGTACCTAATACCTACAGGAACCTGGAGCGAGTTGCAAGTTTCACCAAAATGGCGGCTTCAGATGAAGGTACGAAAAATATAAATTAGGATCGCAATTTTACGGTTAAATGAACATTTTAAAGCCCTAAAAACTGCACCTTTAAAGATACTAAATGAATAAATCATTCCATCCGCAGTGCCAGTCTTTGTGAAGCCAAAGCGGGAGATTCTGAGCCCACGAGATCTGAGCAAGTGGGAAAAGTCTCAGGTAGAGAATTTCTGTTATTAAATTTTGTTTTATTTCTATAAGCTTATTTGACGTTTCTTACATTTTGGCAGTCATAGGATTTATAAAGGTATTTCGTTTTGAAAACTAGATAGATACATAAAATTCATGAATGGAAGCAGCAGTCTATCAGCGTACCAGCTATTTTGATAGGAGCTAATACATGCATGTGCTGCGGCATGTTTTTAACTTTGGGGGCAAAGTAGAATTTTACAGAATCCCGAAATCGAAGATTTCAAATTTTAAATTTCAAATCCCTGTCACTTGAAATCTAGCCTGTGTACAGACGTCCCCCCTCCCTCAGGAAAAATCGGGAGAGGAGACGTCTGTGAATCGCCGTCGTTAATCGTGTTCCGGTATACATTTGCATAAATTATTTTTTTGTCCTTTCGCTGACAGTTGAAAAGGCACAGGTAGGTCTAAAAATAGCTCTGGCGTCTGTGCACAGGCTAGCCGAACATCTTCACGCAATGTCCACCCAAAAATACAGATACAAGATCTCTGATTACAGGCAAGCCAGGTCAAGCGTTTCTCCCAAGATCGCATTAATGTGTTTATTATTCGAAAGTTGAACCGTTGGTAGTTGTAGATTTCAGATTTGTGTCTGTGTGCATTCTTACATGCGTAATGAGCCGTGAATTCACACGTGATTCAGTTACGAAATTTCTACCAGCTCAGTTTCCTCCTGTTTCGCTGGATTTGATGTAAATGTCTTCTAAGACATTTAATCCATTCAAAGATTTTCAATCTGACCAAATGCAGAGAAGTTCTCTTAAAATATTCACTGCTCATTACGCATACAGAAACGCTGACTTAAATTTGACACCAGTTATGGGAGCGACTAACAGATTCATTTTTTCAAATAATCAATTCATTAATGGAATCTTTTTGGGGTAAACTTGACCTGCCTTGGCCGTTAACGTTGGATTTTGTATGCCTTCTCTTTTATTTTCAATACCGACCGGTACAGACAGACGCACCTGCAACCGGTGCAGCAAACATCGTTAACTTCTCATGCCTTTTCGAGAGAGCCGAAATACAAATACCGCTAAACAAATGTCCACAAAGGTTGGGAAATCTATTCCGAGGTTCATTCAGCAATCACAACACGAGAAATTATTTGCGTCGTGGCATTAACGTTACAACCAATCAGAGGCTGTCCCCAACATTCCGGGAAATGGTAACACGATTATTGTCGGCGATTCACAGACGTCTCCTCTCCCTATTTTTTCTGAGGAAGGGACGACGTCTGTACACAGGCTACTTGAAATCTGGAGTAACCCCCTGGGACGTGCCAAGTCTGCATTTGTCGCTTACCAATAAACCCCCGATACGCGTTCTCTTTTTTGGGCTGCCCTTGAGGGCAATACCCAATCATAAAATGTGTCACAACTACGTAAAAAAAAAAAGACCAAATGGCAGACAGATCTCTCAGAAGGGTTTGCGTGTCTCTTATCCCCGTTCAATGGAGCTGATTTTTGCATGGAGGGGAGAGGTCATTTCAGGTCATTTAGCAAACAGATTTGAAAGTTGATTTTGAACTAACACAAAATTATTGCATGGAGTTATTGGCCCTATATTTGCGCCAGATGATTACCTAAAATACCATACTCGATGATGTAGTTAGCCTACGTGGGAGCTACAGAAACAATGCCCTCCCACATGGTCCCCACAAGAAAAGCTTGAACTTGCTGCAATTGTCTCCCTGCAGGGGGTGTGTTGTGGAAATGTTCCAGTTAAAAAGAGTGCCAATCGTTTCTCGTTTCAAAAGGCTAACTTGACTATTTTTATTCATAGTGTTAGAAGTTACAGACCCATTCCACGAGTTAGGAATACACACTCAAGCCAGAAAAAAACATGAAATTCTTTATTGTAATCTGTACTTCCCAAAATATCAAACTGCTGCATCATGAGGTCAGCAGCCCAATGAATCCCGATTAAGGGGGGTCTTGTTGGGCCGAGAAATGGGTTATGGGATTTAATGGTTAAACTAGGGACACTGGACCATGGAACTTTTAAGTTTTATTCCACCTCTTTCTTTGCAGTCATGCAAATTGATCTGTGGAAACCACCATTTCTTGCAGGCATACAGTGATTACCTTGGATTTGTCCTAACTTTAAATGATGCTGTCAAAGGCAAATCAATGGGAGGGGATTATAAAGTATCTGAGGTAATTATGACTGTTACTCAAACCCTACCTATCATGCTAAAGTTAATTTATAATAATTTATAGTATCGATGACAGATCACAATCATTGATTTAAAAAAGTCAGTTGATCAATATAAGAATACCAAGAATTCAAGATTATATCATTTTAATTTTTTGTTTCACAAATATTGACTGCCATTACTCATGGGAAATTTTCTTCAACCAATCTCATAAGCACAACCCAGATCTGGGCAGTGAAACGTCATCAGTATGAAATTTCTTTTTTGCTTGTTCCCCAGACATTATTTTGTGGGGAAACCAGTGGCTTTGCTAAATGTTGGCTGTTTTGTTAGGCTACAGGTTTGTTTTCTTAACAACTTTTAACTGCATACAGGCTTCAACAAAGTTGGTAACCTTACTAGATACCATGGAGTCTTGGATTGATGAAATACCACCCACTGATCAACCACAGAGGTTTGGGAACAAGGCTTACCGGACATGGTTTGAAAAACTAGAACAGGTTAGAGACTAAGTGAACATGTTCACCCCTCAATTACCGCTTGTTACTTGTAGAACCAAAAGAAACCCCTACCTGTTTGATTCCCCGCCTACTTTTTGTATTTACCCTGCAACCCTGAATGTAAAAATGGCTAGTGTATCTCAAAACTGGGTTGTGATGAATTTTGATAGCATAATTTCAGACATAACAGTAGATGGAAGAGCTAATGTATTATAATGTATTATGTAATGTATGTGTAATGTATGTGTAATGTATTATTTTGCTAATGCAATAGCTTCATTTTGTGAGAAATGTTGGTAGTCCTGAACAATACCCTTTGTGAACAAGACACTTTTTGGACTCAAAATAAATTATTGGTGCCTTACAACAAACCTCTGCTCAGCTGACAGCTTTACTAGGCAAAAGCAGAAACTAATAACAAGCATATTCTCCAGCAAGTTTTAAGGGGGGAAATTTAAGTAAGTGTCAAGAATATAATTATGTGTGCAGCAGGGGTACACTGTAGTTATGGATGGGGGTAGCTTCCTTCTTTTAGGGGAGTATGGGGGATCCATCAAGGGCCCTGAAAAGTATAAGTGTTGAGAAACAGAGACAAATAGGATGGAAACATTATTTTCTGCATAGAGCTGGTGCTTGCATGATGACTAGACAGCAATTTTCACCTACGCCTATGAAGAAACCCTGAAAATGAAAACCTGTGATGCTTGATTATTCCTGTTTTACTCCTAGATATTGTCTCAAATTTATTTTTATTCCAATCCCTTTTTAACTGTGGAGGAACTACCAGCTCCTAAGCCTTTTTTGTTGTTATTTAGAATGCTGACTCCTTGATTAAGAATCTTCTGCCAGAAAAGTTTATGGGTGCCAGCACAGAACTTGCAGCATATCTTTTAGGTTTGGAGCTATTACCTCGTTGTTTCGTTGTTATTACAGGGCTTATTTTTTGACATTAAATACCCACAAAAAGGGTTCCTTCTCTCCTCCTTTGGAAACATTTGAGACCGCTGACAGATGCCATTTTGTTGTGACTGCATGTATCTTAGACTCTGAGACATTATAACACTTAGGGCTTGTTTACGTGGAGGTGGGATCCCCAGAAAGGTGAGGTAACCCGCTTAGGTGGAGTTAAAAATTAACCCTCCTTTACATGCAATCTTACAACCTCGCCATACCGGGGTGAACTTTCTCAAGATTATTGAATGGTCGCTAAGCACGTAAACAAGAAAACTGTTGGCAAACCAGGTGTTTTAGTGATTAATGCTCTTCTACACTCACTTGCTGCTCTTGCTGCAACCTTTAGTACTGTGGCTTTCTGTTGTTACCTTTAATAGTGATGCAAAGCCACCGCTAAAGTGAATTTTGCGTGTATTTGATGTATCATGAATCCGACCCCAGCTAGGCGGGTTACCCCACCTTGAAACGTTTACATGGCAAAATTTGACCCGGTCTGGAAGGGTTACCTGGTCTGGCAGACCAGGCCAGCCGCCTTGCCAGGTCACCCCTATCACCTATCATGTAAACGTGATCAAATTAAAATGACCTACCTGGGGTCTCCCACCTCCATGTAAACAGGCCCTAATAATCCTGCTGATCTTTGTGGTATAGTCCTGTTTTTTAATGCCAAGGAAGGTAAAAAATAGTTTTATTGTGAATTTTAAGTGGTGCAAGATCAGTCTCTTCCAGTTACTTGAAATTTAGCACCTACAAAAAGTGAATCACAGCGTGAACACCTGACTTAAAAAGTTTTGTCCTGTAAAATTGTTGCTTAAAATACCTGTAGTTGGCAAATTTGCAATATTAATTACTGTAACTCCACGAACAAGTTGAGAATTCAAAATACTTCAGGACCATAAATGTGACCTTATTTTTCCATGTACAGGGTATGTGGTAATTAAGTTGTGAGCTAATATTGTTTTTGTGTGACTCAACTTTTAGATGGATTTGGCAATAAGACAAGAATAGACTATGGAACAGGTATTTTTGGCAGTTACGCATTGAAATTATAATTAACTCATTATTATTTTTAGTATTAGTTGTAGTATTTTTATTAGTGTTATCTGAAGTCATTATATAATCACAGTAATTGCTAATCACATGGACTTAAACTTTCCATGGGGGAGTCTTGTCACTATGCCATGTTTTGTATTATTAACAGCTGTGAATGCTTCAAACAGTTATATAATAAAGCGATACTGTTCCTAAGGAAACATGACGTAGTGACAAGACTCCGCCTGGTAAATTTCTCCCATTCGGCATAAACTTCCTACGATAGCTTGCTGCTCTTGGGAGAAAAGAGAAAAAAGGTGCAAAGTAAACCAGCTTTGCTTCAAAGCACTGGTTTAAGTAACTTCGGTACCACTAGCAAATCAAAGCATTTTTTGGCCATTGAGGTGTTTAATTTGATCGTCGTGTCAAAATCTCTGCCCTTTGAGGTGAATAATTCAGCTGATAATTAGATCATGAGTAACATTTGTCCATTGAGGTGAAAGAAAAGCTTGGAATAATGGATTCAAAATGTGTTTTTCTCTTTGAGGAAGCTAACCCCTGGCTATTAAACCATTCAAGTGTAAAATAACTTGACTGTCGCGCTGGCACCGGCTCCTGTCAGGCCCAATAATTTATTAACCTTTACGTCAACCAAAGGAAACTTCTCAAGCACTGCCCATTAAACTGTTGTTCGCCCATTGACGTTGAATATTCCTGAAAATGTATAGTATTTCTGAAAGGCGCTTCGTGAGTTTTGACGAATAAATGCTTGATTGTGACTTTCAGGCAGCATAGGAATGCATCAATATCTTCACACCTCCATTTGCGAATTAACAAAAAATGTTCAGATAGTAGAGCAGCCAAATACATAAAATATCTTGTCTTCCTCGGGATTCATCACTTAACCATTCATGACCTTGATGAATTTACTTCCAGAGGCAAATAAAGAAATCTAGAAATTAATATAAACAAGTAATTACTAAAAACTATAAAGGCCTTGCACTCTGGAAATTTACTCAAAGGGCTTCCCCCTTTTATGCATCCCAAATGCACAAAAATAACGTTTTTTCCTTTAAGAATGCTTACCCACCCTAATTTCCTCGAGCCATTTTCATTTTCTTCACTTCATTTATTTCGAACTGTACTGTGATTCCCCGTAGTTTCTTCCAGCTCTTAAGCCAGCACTTATACTTTCAAATTGAAAGTCTTAGTGTTACTAGCTGTTTTTTTGTAGGCCATGAAGCTTGTTTTGCTGCATTTGTGTGCTGTCTGTTCAAACTCCGAGTGTTAGACCAAGGTGACTGTGTTGCAATAGTCTTCAAAGTTTTTCACAAGTAAGTCGTAAATTTTATTTGTTTTTAGATGATGATAATAATAATAATAATAATAATAATAATAATAATAATAATAGTAATAATGATAATAAGTAATGATAACTAATTACTAAAGAAATGCAATTATTTTTGAAAGAAATGTATTTTTGAAAATAGATCACAAATGAATTTTTGGCTGTGTCATCAATTTATTCTGGAAACATCCAGCAATTACTTTTCACCATAAATATACTTTTTCTTGCCTACCCACAGTGATGAATACTAAGTTCAATGTCGGGTAACCCTTTTAAAATTGCCAACTGGGCAACCATGCTAAGAAGCAAGGCTGACTCAGTGGCAGATTCATAATGTCGCACAATGTATTGGATAATTCTCAAATTCTACGCAACCCTCTTTTTTGCCCATACATTTGGGCGTAAGTAATACCAAGGTGACTGTGGGTAGTGATGTCACAGTGTAGTAGGGATGTCACTAAGATTTCAAGTTGCCGGGTAAATACAACAAGTAGGCAGGGAGTCAAACAGCTAGGGATTTCTTTTGGTTGTATTATTTTTTCTTCTACTTTCATATGAAAGTAACTGGAGGTCACATTCATAGTAGCCGGGGGAAATCCCTGGCCCCCACCTCTTAATGACAGCCCTGGTCTTGTATTTACTCCTGGTGGTTCGAGGCTGGGTAATCCAATGTGCAACTGTTGTTTGTGGACCATGGATTATGTTTGTGGAGTTGTTCCTGAGGACCTAACAGTAGAGCAAACTTGTGATTTCATGTGAAAGGGCTATTGGTAATTTGCTTTTTAAATTGAGTTTAAAGCAGTAGTTCAGGGGCACCCAATGAGAATACAGTTCAAAACCACATAAACATAGTATTGTTAAACGTATTTTAGTATTTAAACAGTAGATATAGGCATATTTTTATCCCCTAAAAGTTTTTCATCTGTTCAGATTTCTGAGCTGAAAGTCTAGTGATCCGAAAATTATAGGGATAAAAAGGCTCCCGAAAATTCTATGTGACCTTTTCACTGTAAAAATCCGTTAAAAATGGGCAATTATACCATTTTTTAGATCTTCGAAAATCCTAGGGGAGGCAGGCAAGCAAGAAATTCTACAACAAAAATTCTAGATCTCAGATCATCTTCCAAACAGATATTTTCCAAAAATTGACATTGGGTGCCCCTGGTAGTTGGTCTATATGAATTGGGTTTATGCTCAAATTTTTGTCAGAAACAGAGTGTTTTGTGCAGCTCGTTTTACATATACATTGAGCCAGCCCTCAACTTCCGTTAGGAATGTAATGAATTTGTGGACTTTTAATTGTTTTAGAGACTACATTTACCCCTGGAGGGACTCTTTGCCCTGTGACGCTCACTCATTAGATCCCAATATCTTATTCAAATTTATATTTTTATACCTCTCATACATACTTCACGCCATTCTTATGCTTTTTTAGTAAAGGGCTTATTTATTATTATTAGTTCCTGAGGCCTAGTGGGGCATAGTTTGCCATGAGTTCCTCCGCCCAATCAGCACTGCTCTTTTATTTTCATTTTTTTTTTCTTTTTGTCATAATTTCACTTTTTTAAGCCTAGAACTATGATTAGTACGACTATCTAATATATTTATTTTAAGATTTACTGTAGCTCTGCCATTGATTTTCCCATGTGCAATTATGATAATATTTTGTTCTAATTATCTAACTGAGGGAGCCCATTCCTTATAAGCCTGGTGGCTTCTCTTGGGCTTCCTCACCGTGAGAGTTTAAATAATTTTTGCTTTGTACAACTTATGGCAAACAAAACAATAAACAATAAACACTCTGGAGTTCCATGTGTTCAAATCCCACTAGGAACTCAAGAATTTATCTTTTAGTTTTGTCACATGCATGTGATATTGCAGATTAATATAACATCACCCTTTCTGATGCATCTCCATGTACGAAGTACTGTAGTAATAAGTAAGTACTTCTATTCTAATCTATCGTCCATTAAAATTTTTGCCTGATCAAATTCTCTCAAGATATTTGGAGCTTATGAGGAAATTACAAATGCAATACAGAATGGAACCTGCTGGCAGTCAAGGAGTATGGGGACTCGATGATTTCCAATTTCTGCCCTTCATCTGGGGTAGCTCCCAACTGATAGGTATGTGGTGTTCTAATCACAGGTTATAGTCAGTTAGCAAAGTTATCAGTGATTGGAGGAGCAATGGTGGCACAGTTGGTTGCATGGCTCTGGGTGCCCAAGGTCCTGGGTTTGATCCCTGGTGACATCCTTGTTTCAACTTCTCTTTCACTTGGTTAGCTCAGTTGGATGAGCTTATGCTGCTGAGCAGGAGGCCATGCATGGGTTCAAACTCCAGTCGGACCAACACTCAGGGTCTTTAAATAACTGAGGAGAAAGTGCTCCTTTCTGTATGCATTGGGTAGCTGCAGATGTCGATTTTGTCACATGTTTTCAGTCAAATAAGGCAAAATTGTCGCATAACATTACAACAATTGTATTGCATGGTAATACAACTAGCAAGCTCTGTGCAACCATATCAGCAACTGAAACAAGAAAATAAAAAAGCATCAGGTTAAATAAGTAAACCAAAAAGTCTCAACATACAGTACACTTTTTGCCACATTTCTTTGCTTTCATTGAATGACAAACATTATCAAACTTGCATGATTGGAATCACAATTCGATTGTCAATTTAATCTGTAAGATCATTGCTGCATCAATAGCGATCATCACGATTTCAATTTCGTTGGAAAAACCAGATGTACAAAGGCTCGGTGATTAGACTTTCTAGTCCCCTCGGGTAAGGACGATAAACAGTAGGCCCTGTCTCACAACCCTGGCACATGTATAGAATCTGTGGAACATTAAAGAACCCACACACTGGTCGTATAGAGAAAGGGACGTTGTTCCCTGTGTGGTGGTGTATCTCTCATTGGGGGAAAGACTGTTACAAGCCCATAGTAACAGGCACCATGCTCTGTTGTGGAGACCTGCCAAGAATTGGTGAAACTGAGTAAATAACTAAGTAAATAAATTTTTCAACCTTTAAAAGTTGTTATTTCCCTGTTCATAATTTGTTCCAGGTCATCCTGATCTCATGCCATCTCACTTTCCCGAAATAAGAGCTGCTGAACAAAATCACCTTGATTATATGTTCTTTGACTGTATCAAGTTTATACACAAGGTAATTATAATAGGCAAAGAGCTGAGTTGCCTATATAAAACAAAACAAAAACAGTAAATCCAGGTTTACAAAGTACAGAAAGCTTCATGGCATTTTGCTTCGTTATTATATTTAAAACCCAGCTCCCATAATTTTTTTTGTAAAGAAAATATTATTTGAAGTGTACTGCTTATCCAGTTACTAAGCTGTCAGCATCTGAACCTTGTGTTGATTAATGGTTCAAGCAGCTTTTTTAGGGAAAAATTAATTTAGCTGAATACTTAATTACAGAGAATGTAATCTAAAGAAACAAAGTTTATTACGAAAAACTCCAATGCTAGTTATAAAGAGTGCCTCATTCAGTTAAATCTTCTACCACTTAATTGCTGGTTGGATTTGTTCTTTTACTTTAATGTAAAGTAGGTTGACTTTCATTGAATTTGAAAAATTATGTTCCTGTTCCCCTGGTACTATTACCAGCTGGGGGTTCATCTACTGGCTTATATAATTTACAGCCATAACTACATTCCAAAAATTTTGTACGGTTTGTAAAGGAATGCCAGCTTATACCTAATAACATTACAGTCGACTCCCGGTAACTCGAACCCTCTCTAACTCGAACCTCCCGCTAACTCGAAGCAATTTTCATTTCCCTTCGGATCGTTTTCTATATAATTTTACCCTCGATAACTCGAACTCCCGATAACTCGAACTGTTTTTTATTTCCCTTGAAGGTTCGAATTATCGGGAGTCGACTGTATTTCAGTCTAGTACTTCTCTAAGCACCTTCAAAGGTAAACTAAAGGCTAGTTTTAATATTAAGAGCAGTGTTTGACCAGGACAACACAAGATCATATATTAAGCTTGTTTGCCCAAAATATCGTAAGGCTACTTTTTGATCCAAAAAGCAGTTGTGCACTTGTAAAGTTTGATATGTCTGATATGTAGATCATTTTCTTTTCATACTTCTTTCTTGTACTCCACTTTTTTGGGTTAACTAGGGGTAAGAGTCTGGTTAGATAGTTTTTTTCTCTTTCTTATGTTTATTGATAGGTTAGTTTTGGGTGGTTAAATTTTGTAGGGGACTTCACATGTCCTATTGTTTTTCCACCTTGTATATGATATGTATACCTAATCAGTAAATAAATAAATAGCTAGTGCAAAATGCCATTTTTTTGTGGGGTGTCTAGAAAACGACGACCTAGAAAACGAAGACCTACGACCTAGAAAACGACGACCTAGAAAACAACGACCTAGAAAACAACGACCTAGAAAACAACGACCTAGAAAACGACGACCTAGAAAACGACGACCTAGAAAACGACGACCTAGTAAACAACGACCTAGAAAACGACGACCTAGAAAACGACGACCTAAAAAAAAACGCGGGGAGGGGAGGGGGGGGCTTAATAGAAGTGTGCGAGAAATGCCCCATCCCCGGACAAAACCAAAATAGCATATTCATAGCAAATCTCGATGTAATCTTATGAAACGTGCCAAACACCCACGCAAATCGCTCATAGCCGCTAGTTACCCGGGGCTGGTTATAAGTAATGCTAAGGTCAATAGGTCTAATATGCACGTGCAGCACACTTTTTTGCACGTCGTAGTAAGAGCAGATGATTCTCTCAGAACCAAAATTTCTTGGATGCATTTTGGGCGCTTTCCATTCACCCAAAACTTAAGAAACTTTGGAAACAGTGGCAATTGGTACAGTATTTTCCCGGAAAAGTTCCCAGACTTCCGGAAAAGTTTCCGAAATGCGAACCTTTCAACCAGAAATTTTAGACATTCGGAAGCAAATTTGAATGAGGAAAGAAAACTTCCCGATGATAATTTTCGAAAATTTGGGTATATATTGCGAAAATACTGTTCCATTTGGTACTGCAAGGAAGTTGCCGAAAATTTAAACCAGACGTTTTGATTGAATGGAATGGCGCCCATGCAAAGGTAACCAAACTTGTTGCCAATTGTGTGTCCTTTACGCGTGCGCGTGAGAGCTCCACTAAAAAAGTTTCTCTAGTCAAATTTTCCTTTAGTATGGTCAATGAAGTCATGATTCAACCTGACTGACTGCTGGAAGCAAAAGCTTTGCTTTGACCTATTTATTATCCTGATATCAATTTAAACAAATTTCCATCAAATCTTACTGACCTAAATAATATACACTGCTTCACTAGCGCGTCGTTTATAGCGGGAAGTTCAAGCCCACATAAATCAAACGGGAAATAAATCAGACGTGCCTTTTATGTGCTCAACACCATAAACAAAGAGTTTATATTTTGAAAATAAAGAAAGAAGGGCTTCAACATTTTCTCGTACCTTTCCTTACATGAAACGGTAACGGTAACGAGAATTCTGAAATATTATGTGGGACACAATGAAGGTTGACATGTCATCAGATTTGAACTGTATTTGAACTGTAAAATTTGAATCGTATCATCCTAGGAGTTTCTGTTTCCTCACAGGTCTGATAGCGTGGTATATATGCAGTGAGATCTCCGGCAGAACTTTTGAATTGTTCAGAAATAAACTCTTACATCAGGAGAAATAGAGACAACGCCGCAGAGCAAAATTAAAAATTTCACTTCGGTTCATTTTTAATTCTTCCATCACTTTCACGCAATGCACAATGCAATGTCCAAGACAAAACAATAGCTCCTGCGACGACACTAGGCACTCTATAACTGCTGTTTAAAAATGCGAGAGACGGTTTTATAAACTGCGTTATGAAAATAACGCAAGAACAATACTGATGTAGGTATCTCGCGGGGTACATGTAACGAAGGTTTATGTTAATCAATAAGTCAATCGAGCATCTCCGCCTAAACGTGAAAATTTCCCAAATTTGACTTTTAGAAATACTTCGTTCCCCAAACCTCTTTTTATAAACACACTCCGGGATCGCTCATGAAACTAACCCGATCTAAAAGAAATACATTTATAATTCGCAATCAGAACAAACACAAATCGTCTTAATCTCGTAGCTAAATTCAGAAAACTTCAATGTTAATTATAACTTACTTCTGTGGCGGTCGTTACCACAATCGCACTTTACAGGTTAGCAAATTCTTTTAACAGATTCTTCAGGTAAGCGGATTTATAGACAGACTGTAAATTATTTTCTTTCTCACTTCGATTCTACTGAAAAGCTGGTTTGAAACACAATAAGCTAATACAATTCTTGTCATCAAATAAATCTATCCAATAACAAACAGGCAACGCTTGTTTGATAAACGAAACAGAGGGGAGACCTCGCGTACCTTGCATTTCCAATTCCACCGTTTTATTCCTTGGTTTCATACCCTTAGCCGGTACAAATAATATTTACTATTTTTCTGTAATTTTCCTTCTTCGCCCACCTCTCACCCCTTCATAATTCCCTCCTATCGTCCTCTTATTTCCCGCCTTTTGTACCCCTCTAACCCCTTAATCCTTCGAGCTACCCCTTCCTTGTCGTCGTTTTCTAGGTCGCCGTTTTCTAGGTTGTCGTTTTCTAGGTCATTGTTTTCTAGGTCGTCGTTTTCTAGGTCGTCGTTTTCTAGGTCGTTGTTTTCTAGGTCGTCGCTTTCTAGGTCGTCGTTTTCTAGGTCGTCGTTTTCTAGGTCTTCGTTTTCTAGACACCCTTTTTTTGTGCAATGAGATCCTGTTTCCTAGTCATCTGGCGGGTTTACTCTTTGCCACACTCGTCTTAAAAAAAGTGGGAGGGATTGCAACAGTGAATTGTTTTTCACTGTTTATTCTAGCACGAAACATCTATGGTTTTGTGAAAAGGGGAACATTCTTAAATTGTTAAAAAAAAAAAGGGCAAGGGCGGGTATCGAACCCGGTACCTTCAGCTTCAAAGGTTAAGTGCAGTTAATGCCTTGCGCCATGAGGACAATAGGTAGAGATACCCTTATGGCCAGGTGGACAGACTTACACAGACATTAAGAAGCACTAAAACTAAAGCAAAAGTTTTGTTAAATTTGTTTTATTAGAATTGCTGTTTTGCTCACTGAAAATGCCTCCTGCTGTATCAAATCCTGTAGAAGATTGTTTCTAGAATAAGATATATAATGAGTCATTGTGTGAACTTGTTTTAACTGATTCACTCTCTTTGAAATCCCAGAAAATATCTTTCCATGTCACAATTTGTAACAAGTAAGCTCTTTTTTTCTTTTTTTAGATGAAAAGTGGACCTTTTGCGGAACATTCTAATGTACTATGGGGAATAAGTTCTGTTGCTGCATGGGAAAAAGTTAACTCTGGATTAATCAAAATGTACAAAGTTGAGGTAACTGGTTAGATTGTTTCTCTTTCTATACTTCTCTCAAAGGAGATTTCCGGACAGTTCAAGGACTCCTTTTACCTCCCCTCCTGCTCCAGCCATTGGCACCTGCTGGAGAAACACTTTTCTTACCTGTCTATTTTTAGGAGTGCCAAGAAACTTGTTAAAGATCTGCCTATTGAAGCCAACACTTTGTGACCCTCTCCTGTCCTGAGACAGAACACTTCCCATACAATGTTTAGTATAGTCTTTTGTCGAACACTTGTTAATCTCAAACAAATCTCATTTGAATCTGGGGATGAAGAGTTGCAAAATATCATGTACATCTGCTGTACATGCAGTGATTTTGTTATCTCTGCGTCCTGCGTCCCTGATGCATAAAGATCGCCAAAGATGCAAAATAATAATGGTATGTGTCCTGTGAGACACAAAGAATGATCCATTGATTTGAAGATTTTTTGGAGTAGAATATCCGGTGTGTGTGATTTCTTTTTTCAGTAAAGTGTAAAAAAGGGTTTTTGCATCTGTCTCCATATTAACTGTCTGGTTACATAAAGGCCCAAGCATTTCAATTTAGGACTCCCAGGACTCACCATAACTATTTGTAACAAAATCTCTGTACATGTAGTTTTATATTAAAAGAATATACCTGCAGGGAGAATACTCCAGAGTAAAAGTGACTGGGATGTTGAGGGATTTATGGGGGCTTTGAAATTTTCCGTTTGCTTTTTTTTTTCTTGGATAGGAAAATTTGATAAGTGATTTTTGGGGTACCTTGATTTAAGAAGAGATTTTTGGGGTGCTCAAAACAATCTGAAGACTGATGTCTTTCCATGTATGTATGCCAGCCACATAGTTCTGCTTATTCTTGGTTTGTGCCTTTAAAAAACTGTCGCTTAACGTTGGGGATGAGGAGCTGCGAAATAACAGGAACATGTAGTTAAGGGATAATATACCCCAGGGGGGGTAGTCCAAGGTAAAATAAACAGGGAGAAAACGCAGGAGTTTTTTAGGGTATAAAATTCTCTGCTCCGCTTTTTTGTTTGGATAAGAAAATTTGGCTAGTATTTTGTAGGGTGTTCAAAACAATCTAAATATTGGTGTACCAGGCACATATGCCAGTAGTAATTCTGCTTGATCAAGTACAACCAAACTTGTTTTGCAATGTTTTAACAGTTAATTTAATAATTAAATAAACACATTCTGATTATAGAGAAGCCTACTTATTTAAGTCCATTAATTGGCCCAGCATTCCTTCACATGAGCGGCGAGCATGGGTGGAGTTTCATAGCTACTTAGAAGAATTACACAGCACAAAAGGAATTAACATGATCAATATGAATGTGAATTTTTGCTAAAAATTTGGATATAAGACAGCAAAGATATTGTCATTCACAGACAGTGAATCCAGGGGTTTTAACCTGGACCTTGGATTATCAATTTTCCAACATTTTTAGCAGAGAAAAGGAAATGTATGCCTCTCACAAAGAGAGGGGGGGTGGTCACAGATACGCAGGACCCCCATAGGCTATGCTCTTGTTGGTGCGGAAAGGAAAGCATGTTCTAAACCCTTGAAAGACTGTGAAAGATCTAATTAGGGAGCACAAGCACAGGCTGCCCATGTGCGAAATTTGAGTATATCGGCCTTCTTGCATAACCTTTGAAATAATTGTGTGAGGATTTTTATGGGGAAAACAAGATTATTTCTTTAACCTGTCCAATGAACATGAAAGGATTTGAATAAAAATTGGCTAACTTACTCAAGAGCTAACTGGTTACAATAAAACCCATACATTGGCTTTAGTCGGCTCTGGAATCACAAAGAAAGAAGAATTATCACACAACTTAATTGAGGCTAGCCTGTATAAATCCTCATATTTCGAAGGCCACACAACAATGCCAATGCTCTCATTTCTAGCTTGGGCCCCCTGAACATAACGAATTTACACAGAAATGTTTCTCAGCAACAGAATCAGATCTCGTTCAAACCCAAAATGATTTTACTCTTCCTATTCCACAGTCTACTGACAATAGTCAAAATCAAATCAAGTAGAATTTTTTTTGTTTTAAGTTTTGCTTTATTGTTGATCAGTTTTTGTTTATTCTCTAGGTACTATCCAAGTTTCCTGTGATACAGCACTTTGTTTTTGGAACACTGATGTCCATTGAAGAGGCAGACAAATTTAAGAAACCTCTGTAACACTCTGTGACCTTATGTTACGACTTCCCGATTACTAAGGTTGGCAAAGATAAGGCAGTAACATCTCTGCAATAGTCATGACAAGTCACTGTGACCAGCAAGTCACCATGGCAAGACTGCATGTACAGCCTTGTTCATGTAATTGGCATATTTTGTCCAGGCATTGAATGATTGTAAGCAAGCCTTGTTCACTCTGCTTACTCGGCATGTGAATTCAGGCCAATCTACAGCAAATCCTCTCATGGAGGAAACTTCTTTAAGATAATCACCTGGGTAAATGGACACCTAGAGTTGCTCCGTGCCTTTTTAAATTCTTTTTAGTTAACACTCTCTAAAGGTGATGTTACACGAGACAATTCACAAAGACAATTTTCAGCACAACACAGCGTTGCAGTGTTGGAACAATGTTGCAAACATTCGAAACAATGTTACAACAATGCTGTAATGCTGTCGTTGCGCTAAAAACCATTGTTGCGAATCGTCTCGTGTAACATCACCTTAAGATAAATAGACGCATTGTGAAAATGGACACGTAGAGTTGGTCCCTACCTTTCTTGACTCCTCTTAGTTTACTCTCTGTAAGAGGGATGGACACCTTCGTTGCTAAAATGGACAGCTAGGGTTTAGTCACTGTCTTTCTTTTACCCCTTTTGGCTCTCTATAAGATGGATACCTCACTAAAATGGGCGTCTAGAGTTGGTCCCTTTGTTTCTTTCCCCCTTTTAGTTTGACTCTCTTTAAGATGGAGAAACATTTTCCAATTTGCCAAAACATGAAAAAAATCATTTTTCTTCAAAACTGGGAATTCACAGGAACACGGCAAAAACCTTGAGGGTCCTGCTACACCCTTGGGATCAGAGGCACTATGTCTCCATCTTAAAGAGGTGGCACCTGAGAGTTACTGGGGGTTAATTTGTTCTGGGCTAAAACCCTTGTGTACCAATAATACTTCCTTCCTCTGTGGTAAATAAAGAATGTGACATTCTAAGAGCAAATAGGTTTACCAAGTTCTTTCCTTTGAACTTTGACAGTGAAAACCCACAAGTAGAACTGCATTTTCAAAAGTTAGCTTCGGCAGGTTATTTCATAAATGGTAATTCAGCACAATTATTTAGGTGAAATTGAAGAATTGCTCCCCAAATAATCTGTCGGCAGGTTGTTGTCTAACTGTCAACCAACGGTCAGCCGACAATTAGTGGCCAACAGTCAGCTGACAAATGGCAACTGTTGGTCGACAAAGGACCAACAGTCAGCCGACAGTTTTCCCCATTTTTTTGCTGGTGAACAACAGATGGCCAACAAATTTTGGGGGAAGCTGTTCTCAATTTTACCATTATTTAGGTTATTTATAGGTTCTTAAATAGGTTCTCATTTTCTGAAGAAAAAATACATGTATCCGTATATCAAAAATCAAGATTTTACGCAGATTTTAAGCGAAATACCAATAAATACTCGAGTATTTATTGGTATTTCACTTAAAATCTGCATAAAATCTTGATTTTTGATATACTGTAAATCCTCTATTAAGCCCCCCTTGGAGGGGGGGCTTATTTCTTTCAAACAGATTTGAGGGGGGAGGGGGGCCTTAATTTTTGATAAATGTAAAAAAATAAGAACCTGTTTCCAATTGTATAGAAGGGGCCAGTAACAAGCAAATTTTAGCCGAACAAGTTCTTTAAGAGATGGAGGCCAGGGGTACTAACCATTTATATGGAAAAACCGGAAATTCTGGTTGAAAAGTCAAATGGTTCAATGCATTCTGTTTGGGAGCTTTACAAAAATATGGGCTGTGATTTGAGGGGATAAAATTTTTCCACTCTTTTTAGTATTTTCAGCTGATTTGGATATAATTTGTAGTGGGCTGTTCTCCCAACACATCAGATTTTATAGTTTTATGCGTATGCACAAGATTTCCCCCCTGGTGGTTTGTGCAAATAGCATGCACCCCAGGTTTTTTTCTTGCTGCCTCGTACAAACAATAATTGCCCTCTCGACTTTGCTATGAATCAGGGTTGTCACTAAGATTTCAAGTTTCAGGGTACATGAAATTTTTATGTGGGGAATTGAACAGCTAGGAAGTTTGCTTGGTTGTATTTATAAATCCTTTGTTTCATATAAAAATAGCCAGGGGTCATGTTTTTGTAGCCACGGGAAATTCCCAGCCACCTGCCTTAATGACAGCCCTGTATGAACACAAATATACAGTCTATGAACATAAATATACTGTGATTTTACTTAACCCGTGAAATAGGTAGTAGAATGCTACCTGCTATAATGCAATGATTCCATTGCTGCCTTTTGTTTACTTGTAGGTATTTTGCACGTAGTTGTTAGTATCAGTTTCATGGGTCAAGTAAAATCACTCTAATGTAGGCGTCGAAAGGCGTAGGGGATCAGAAGGAAGGGGAAAAGGGAGGGGGATTGATTCTTGCACCTGTCACACAGGCTAATCCTCTAGTACTATTTTCATTTCCTGTCACTTCAAAAATATTAGGGAGAGACCTAGTTAAAAAGTTTTTATACTTAGTTCAGTCCATCATCTTTCTTTGTTTAAGACTTAGCATACTTATAACCATTTTTTATCATGGACTAACAAAATTTGTTACAGCAAATCTTGATAATTTTTGTTTAAAATTGGAGGTAAAATTCAGCCCTTTCTGTTTCAGATCATTATTTCTCCCTCCTCTTTTACTATCATATTGTTTACCCAATAAAGACTGTGCAAAAATGTACTTTTTTCTACGATGGTTGAGTGACATGAAATAATTTACCAAAATGTTGTAATAAAATTATGAAAATGCCTGTTGCCCCACTTTTCCTCACATCCCTCTTTTTTTGGATGTTTGCATCCAAAAATTCCCTTTTCAAATACTTAAGCACTGTGTAGTTCAAGAGTGGAATTTATTGTCATGCCTTTGTCAAACACCACACCAAATTAGGCTATCTTCAGCTGCAAAGGGAGGTGATGCTCATTGATAAATATAGACTTCCAAAAGATTGATTTTTTTCCTCTCAGAAAGCATTTGTGTATTAAACTCAGTTGTGGGAAGAAAAAATGAAGTCCACAGATTCATTTGGTATACCCAATATTTTTATTTCATATATGTTTCTGTATTGAGCTTCTGTGTTGTCCAATATACTTTATAGAGCCTAATAGGAGCAATAGTATTTTCTACAGAGATCATAACTCTGTAAATAAGTGACAGCCCCAACTCCTTCATTTATTACCGCCCTCTTGCTATTGAAAAATTGCAAAATTTGTCAAATATGAGGGCGGGTTGGAAATTTAACCCGTTCATACGTCTCCCCAATCCAATGACGTAATCCACAATACCGAACTTGGCCTTTTGAGTAAGGGCTATTTTCATATTCATTGTTTACTGATCACTCAAGACTCCTTCAGAAAAAATGATGGAGAATATTTCAATGAGGCCTTTAACGGGCTAAATTAAAAGCGGGACGCGAGTACATATAATTTCTGTAAAATATTTTATTTCTTTTGTATTTCTCGTTTTAAAATATGTTTCTTTAACAATAATTTCCTCTGGTATATATTACAAGCCTTGACAGTTATCTGCCGTCATAATGTTGTACATAAACATAGCAAGATCCGAGAACAAATATTTAGGGATCTTTCGCCCTAACAAGGTAAAACAAGTGTAAGAACGTCGATGTATTTCCTCATAAGGACCAGCGTGGCCAAAACGCAGCAATGCGTAAACATTATTAAATAGTATACCTCTTTAAAGATTAAGAAAGAAGCCTTCTTACAAATGTGAGCTTACAATATACAACATTAGAAAAAATATTAGGGCAAGAAAGATATCATTTTGTCTTTAAAAACATCACGAACATACTACATAACATTTAAAGATCACAAAGCAATGCATTTTATTACGTAAGATAAAGAGCTGCTGCCTTCGTCATACTCAACCGTTCGAACGCGCATGTAGCTATGAAAATAAAGCCGCCGCTTGCGAAGCGTCAACAAACAATGGCAAGGAATAATTAGAAAAAGTGAAAAATAGAGCAGAAGGTCCGTTAAAACGCTTCTACAACGGTCTGCGACCAGCCAAACACGCCACGAACAGGTCCAACAGGCGCCATGCATTGAAAGGAGTCTAGGTTCGACCCAAGCGAGGAAGTCGACCTAGGAATACTAGAAAGTCCAGAAAAACTACTACTAAATACATTAACAAGTCCTGAAATATCCATTGGTTCTTGATAACTGAGTTCCGTTTTAGAAGATTCTTTGTCGCTTTCAGTTTTCATACGCTTGTTTTGTACCGCGTGGCTGTCACAAGGTTCATTACCATGCGATCTCGCTCGTTTCGAGCCAGTCACGTATTTGACCTCTGCTTTCCTTTCTGTTCTCTGTCCGTGAGTAGCTTTTACTGTTTTATCAATATCCAGAACCTCCTTACACTCCTTTTTGGCTTGCTTTGGGGCGCTTTCATCCATTTCCGTGACTCTATCATTTAATTTTGCCGCGGAACGCGTCGTATGTTTCGCATTTCCTGTGTCAACGGACCCTCCTGGAATATCGGGCGTCATTTTCGTTTTGTCAAAAGTCGCAAGTTCGTTTTCCATAGCATCTATATCCATATCTATGTCCACTTTGGTTCTGTAAGTGTAGTAAGCAGAGTCTGTTGACGTTAAGACATTGTTTAAGACTTGGGACACGAGCAAATTACGTCGAAGAAGTGGACCGCCACGACAACGCCGCGAGTCCGTTATCTTCGACAGTGAAACCTGAATAATCCTCGTCGTTTCGCAATCCATCTTCACAAAGATGTCTTCTGAGAATGATCTCCTCGCTACCTTTGTTTTGAATCGCTAAGATGAGTGAACTTGCCGGTAAAATTTAAATTTTTCAACGACGAAACTTCAACACGACACAGTCGAATGAAGTTCCGTGAATGAATAAACGTTGAAGAGGGCACGATTGTGAAATCGAGATTCTTCGGGAGGGCTTAGCCAATCAAATTCTATTACGTCATACCTCGCTGTCTGTCAGAGCCAACGTGTCGAGGCTCATCAACCAATCAGGCGACATGAAACTGAGACTTGACGTTCGTGGCTGCTAAATTTAGATATGTTTTGTTCGGTTGCTATGGGTGAGGTTCCTTTTGGCGGGAGACGTTACGCGTGATAAATATTCAGAAGATTCGACCGGATACTACTAGAATTCGGTATACGTGAGTCGTCAGACGTAACGACTTTCCGAGGAAAATAAAATTATCGCCGATAATGCGTTTAAAGTTTTAAAGTAACCAACAGATTGTTTTCCGCTTGAAGAGAGATACGGTTTTCCATGTCTGCTAAACCGAAAATGCTGGCTATGCTATTTGTAAATTACCAATTTTGCAAATTGGCATTTTTTTACGTAACAGTTGCATAAAAGTCAGATTCCGTGACCGTCAGCACCTTTTGCATTTGCCCTCGCGTGTTTAGGCGGACCAGTCAGGTCACGGATGTTTTGTTTATAAAAATATCGTCCCAATATCGAGGGCAAGGGAAGGTAATAATGACATCTAACACGTTGCTAAAAGAAAAAACTAAATAAAAAATGGGGGCCATGATCTCACCAGGGCAAGTAAACTACGGCGTTAGACTCTAGATATTACAAAGACGAATAATGCTTTGTTTTCCGGAAATTTGAGACAATGACAGGCGAAAGAAAAAAAACTCTTAATGAATGTATTGTTTTTCTATTTAATTGTTAATAATAGAAATGAGAAAAGAACAGTGTTTGAACCTGTCATGGCAGATCAAGGCCACGTTTGAACTGTACGTTATGTATTCGGGAACCCAAGTGAGAATTTTTCATGTTTTTTCAGCACCGTTCGGGATACAATTCGGTGTTGAGATGCCTTATGTAAAGTTCCAGTGACTTCAAAATCCCGATACAAGGGATTTGGAACAATCTTTTTGTGCATTTATATCCCATAACACTCCAGACTCCGCTTTACAGAAGTATTTAATAGAAGGAAAATTGATATCAGACCCGTCTGCTCGGACTTATTTCCTGTTTCCGTCCCCACACTTCCTTTGCCATAGCCCAACCCTGGCTACAACCGGAAGGAAATATTAGTCCGCACCTTGGCCTCAAAATCTAGTTTATTTTTTTCATAACCTCGTTCCACATGGCCTTTCGCCAGAAACGAGGTTAACTTTTTACTCCCCGCACGACCAGTTATTTTTGTTGTTGTTTTGTTTCTGTTTTTGTTTTCATCAGTGTTACACTCTTCGTGACCCGCGTGCGAACATCTGCCATCTCGAATGCAGGAACTTTTGTTTTATTCAGATAGTAGAAAATGAATGCACAATTTAATGTCAACGACGTTGGAAAAAAGTCTTCCTGTCGAGAAGGCAGGCGTTTAGAAAACCTGATGCTATGCCAAAAAGTTTTGGAATTTAGTTGTAACTCTTCCTTTCCACTTTACAGGAAAACTCTTCAA